CAGCATAATGTCCTCCAGGGTCACCCATTTTGAATAATATTGCATGAGTTCCTTGTTTTTCAATGCAGTGTAGTATTCCATTGTGTGAATATATCACAGCTTCTCTATCCATTCGTTTGTTGATGGGCAGTTAGGTTGTTTCCAACTCCTTGCTATTTTGAACAAAGCTGCAAAAAACATGGGTGGCTGGCACTATTTTTTAACACAATAACACCATTCAGTGATGAAGCTCTGATGAATGAGAGTCTGTCTAAGCCATGACCTTGCCAAGTTGTGAAGCTGGAACAATAGACCTTCATAAATTCACAACTAAATTACTATATAGTAAAATTCCAATCACCCACTGCCATTGTGTGAGTACTTATATCTGACCCTTCAGCCGTTTTTGAGAGGCTGTAAACTGTGTAAGAAATTGCCCATCTTTCTCCACTGGAGCACTTGGCAGATTTGAACCACCTGCATTCGGGTTGGCATCACAATTCCTTATTCATTAGGTCCCCAGATCTTGAGAAATTCCAACAAGAAGCAATTCTGTATATTCATTAGTATGGTGGAAACTAGGACAGCTTAAAAAAACAGACAAGTTTCTGCTTGTAAAAAAATATCAAAGCAGGTCATTAGCAGATCGAGCTATTGATAAGCCTTGCAGTTTTAAACATTATTCAGTGATTTATATTGTGCTTTCTACATCAGTTTGGAATGTAAATCCTGGTGCAAGAAAATTCAGCAAGCTCCTGAATTCATTCATTCATTCATTTTCTCATTTTTTCCCCTTTTCTATCTGTATTCATTTATACTCTAGAGTCAAGGAAGTTAGGGGAAAGAGTTCAGGACATGTGCTTCTACTTTATTTCCTGTATCATCTGGAAATAAGGCTCTGTGAAATCCAGGAAGGGACAATGTGTGTTACAGACAACAGTAGTTTGCAATAGATGTTTGTGGACCTAAAGGTAGAGATGGTGAGTGGTAGGAAGAAAAAGGTTTATTGATTTGGGAAGTCTATTGCTACAGTGACTGGGATCATGGGGTGGGTGTGTAGGGGTCAGTGAGACGAGCTTGGGACAGGAAAGGGTTCAGAGCTGCTGTACATAGGGTCGCTATGTGTCACAGGCGACTTGATGGCACATATAACAACAACTACGTCTGAACTTAGCAGATTTGTGTTTGTTGGTTTTTGTTATTTTAAAAGAAAATAAATCTCAGTACAAATCTAAGTGAAGTGAAAATAAAGACTCCTGTTGAATTCTGGTGGCCTAGTGGTAAGAAGCTTCACTGCAATCCCAAAGGCTTATGGCTAGAATCCACCAGCTGCTCGCTGGGAGGGCAGACACCCTTCCCTCTGTGCAATTTGCCTACAGCCTCTGAAAAGCTGCTGGAGGGTAAGCTATGGGTGGGTTTCCATTCGATGGCACACAACAACAACAACATTTGTGATGAAGGTACATTTAGATTTAAGTTGTAAACGAAACAGGTAAACACGAAATTTATGAAATGAAAACAAATGAACATTAAATCAAAGGTAAACATTGTGTTTGTTGTTTAATGCCGTCGAGTAACATAGTAAACTTTATTTTTCTGTTTTTAAGGACAAATAGAAGAACAAAATGAAAAATCCACTATTTTGGTTCATGCTTCTCACCCCAGCCTGGACCCTCATTGATGGAGCAGAAACGGAGCAGGACTTGATGTGGCACTTGAGAAAAATACCCCGGCTTGTCCGTGAAAGGACTTTGCACCTGAGCAACCCTGCCTTTGAGGCTGATGCCAAGATGCTGTTAAACAGAGTGTGTGGCATTGAGTGCCAGAGGGAGCTCCCAGCGCCCAGCCTTTCTGAGCTAGAGGATTCTCTTTCATACGAGACCGTCTTTGAGAATGGCACTCGGACCCTGACCAGAGTGAAAGTTCACGACGTGCTTCTAGAGCCGACTCAAAATCTCACCACCCGAGGAGCAGCTGTGAGGAGGAAGAGACAGGTATACGGCACGGATAGCCGGTTCAGCATCTTGGACAGAAGGTTCTTGACCAGTTTCCCCTTCAGTACCGCTGTCAAGCTCTCCACGGGCTGCAGCGGCATTCTGGTTTCTCCTAACCACGTGCTCACGGCTGCCCACTGCGTCCACAATGGAAAGGACTATGTCAAAGGGAGTAGGAAGCTGCGAGTAGGACTGCTGAGGATGAGAAATAGAGGCGGTGGCAGGAGACGTCGAGGCTCCAGGAGGAGTAGGAGGGACGCCAAAGGTGGCAGCCCTAGAGAAGGCATGGATGAGAACTTGAAGGGGAGAGCCAGGCGTGGAGGGAGGAGGCGAGGTCAGAGGGCGGCGCGCGGGACACCCTCCTTTCAGTGGACCCGGGTCAAGAACACCCACATTCCTAAAGGCTGGACAGGAGGAGGCCGGGGGGATGCTCCCTTAGACTACGACTATGCTCTTCTCGAACTGAAACGTGCTCACAAAAAGAAATACATGGACCTAGGGGTCAGCCCACCTGTCAGGAAGATGCCGGGAGGAATGATCCACTTCTCGGGGTTCGATGACGACCGGCAAGATCAGCTGGTCTATCGGTTTTGCAGTGTTTCGGATGAATCCAATGATCTCTTCTATCAATACTGCGATGCGGAGTCAGGCTCCACGGGCTCGGGCATCTACCTGCGCCTGAAAGAGCCAGAGGGGAAGAACTGGACCCGCAAAGTCATTGCAGTCTATTCAGGCCACCAGTGGGTGGACATCCACGGGGTGCAGAAGGACTACAACGTGGCTGTGCGCATCACGCCCCTCAAGTACGCTCAGATCTGCCTCTGGATCCACGGGAACGACGCCAGCTGCGCTCAGGGCTGACCGCAGGCGGGAGGCAGGCTTTGCGCCACCACGACGTGGCAGCCCTGCTCTGATTAGTGTAGCAGCATCGCCTCTTAGGATCTGAGGAGGGTAGACCTGCACTTGAACTTATCCATGGCAAACTTTTTTTTTAAAAAAACAACCACCCAAAACAACAAAACCCCAAACTACTCAAGTTTTTAAGAAGTGAGATTTTTCACTCATTAAATTTTTTTTTAGGTAAAGGTACTAAAACTAGATGGGGACTACAACACTAAGTATATACTTTTATTTTATACATGGTGCTAAGTTTCATTTGTGGGATATTGTTTATTTCTGTCTTTTAGACCCCCTAGAACACTTCAAAGTGGCACTATAACTAATAGAGGACTTTTCAACTGACTTATTGTTAGAGTCTGACTCTAAGAAGTCTCTATCAGCACGCAGACTGCATCCAAAAGGTGAGGTGTAGCAGGTGGCAGGTAGCGCCAGGACAAGCGTCTAGGTAGTCACAACAACCCCCAGCAGCTTTACTCTCAGTTAAGCTCATGCTTTCAGTATTTATATTGTTTTCTGTTAGATCAGAGGAAACTAATCATTACAATTTTTTTAACAAGTATCAATTAGAAGGAACAAGCAACATTAGAAAATATTTCAGTGCTTGAAGAAAAGACCAACTGAAATGTGCACTATTTGAAACTGGAGAGAAATATTTTGTACTGAGACAATTCTAGTTTGGAAAAAGGGTACCATTTTAATACCTGAAGTTTTTAATTAGTAGTCAAACCTGGGACTTGGCACGTTTTCATAATGAAGGCAGTTCAAAACTCGTAGATGTCCTGAAAAATCGGTTTGTGTTACACATTTCACTGTGCATGAGGGCTTTTTGTATTAAGGACATGGACACTGTGGTCTTTTGAAAAGAGAGTCTTCTGGTCCCTAACCCCCACCTCCTTGACAACCTGCAGCTTTTTAACAGGCCATGGACTTGTTAGGCTAGTTTGAGAGGTTTTCTCCCCTCCCACCTTTTTTAGGAGCTTTCCAGAATAAGGACGTTGGCTGAAAAGACCTTCCTGAGTTTCTTGGGAGGTTCCCCAAGATTTTCTTTTTTTCTTTAATTTAATTTCTTTATTTTTCATTTCAGTGAACATCTACAGAGATTTCGGAATTCCATTCATTCATTGTTGCACCCCTCTCCCCGCCCCCCCCATTTGCTCCTCTCCTTCAAACGCAAAAGAAAAACTCCCTCATTGGTACGTAATCACACACATACATCCCCCAATCCCCAAATATAATCCACTCTGCAACCCTCATTCCATACTCTTACGATAAACATAATGCCCTAAAATATAAAATATTCTCTCCCCCAAAGACTTCAATGCCGTAAACATATTTCACCTAGTTTTTCTTAGTCTTACCCACATCCCGATGTCAGCCTCATTCTACAACAGTGGCACCATATAACAGTTGTCCCTCTGTGACTGAGATACCTCACTCAGCATAATGTCCTCCAGGGTCACCCATTTTGAATAATATTGCATGAGTTCCTTGTTTTTCAATGCAGCATAATATTCCTTTGTGCGAATATACCACAGCTTCTCTACCCACTCGTTTGTTGATGGGCATTTGGGTTGTTTCCAACTCCTTGCTATTGTAAACAAAGCCACACTATCCCCAAGATTTTCTAATAAGCACTTTTAAAATGGCCCTTTCATAAGAGAATATATTTAGCAATATGCTTTGTAATAGAAAGTCCTTGTCATTCTCACTGGGGACCAAGGCTGCACATTCCCTCTGTATATCATGTGATCTAAGCCAAGGGTATCTAGTGACTGCCCTGGGTCAAGACACAGAACAGGCACCCTGGACACATTGCTTAAATGTATGAGTATTTGCTGGTGGAATGTAAAAGGAGATTTGTTCATGGCATTATAATTAAAGTGTTTACTGATTTATAACTGAATGCTCCATAAATTCAGGAATCCAAGCCTGATTTCTGGTCTGCTCTTCCTGGAACTTTCCCTGGTACCGCACTCTCTATGATGATGTACCCAAATCACTGATTCTGCTGGAGCTTAAAGCTATTTTAATTACTATTTTTGAAAAGAATTAGGAGATCTATCCTGCACTATTTTATTAGATTATAATAAAAAACAATTTTGTGAATGCTGTCTGAAATAACTGAAATTCCACACAAGTGCACATTCTTTTATAATGTGAATCTTTTAAAAACTAATAAAAATGTTTTTTAAAAATCAGTAATAATTATTTATGTATCAACACCACCAACATACAGAGAGCTCTGTGGGCCTGGTGGATAGAAAGTTATGCTGCCAAGTCAAAGGTGGGTGATTTTAGTCTGTGGCCCTCAGGCCTGGTTTTAATTGTTTTTGGTCACACATTTTTCTAAGTGGTATAACACTGGTTGGTTCATTTGCTGTACAGAGGTAACCTGTGGTTGCTAAACACTGACACTGATGTGTCAAATGTGATAATGATTACCCATGGTGGACAGTGTTGGGTGGAGCTCCCCTATTAAAACAAGCTTTGGAAGCAGGAGTGGCATCCACTTCCAAAACAGCTTGCCTCTGGAAACTTGGAGAAACAATGAAAATTATACAAGTGTTCAGGTCTTTCTTTCATAGGACTGCTATGAGTCGTCTATGACTCGATGGTGCTTAACTTAACAACAACAACAACATATATAATATATAACTACATAATTTCATAGATCTAGATAACTATAGATCTATAGAATATCCATATATAAGTTATATAGATATTATAATAATTCTACAGATCTATTGAACTAACTTATTACATATATAATTATATATTACATATATATATATGTACATATACATATATATATATTACATATATACATATATAATTTATATAGATATATAGGTATCTATCTACTATCTATCTATCAATCAGCATCATCTATCATCTATCATCTATCATCTATCTATAGTTGTTGTATACCGTCAAGTCAGAACTTACCCATAGCTGACCCTCTGGCGAGTTTTCAGAGGCAGTTAATTGAACGGGAGGAGATTTTCCATCTTTCCCAGTGGAGCAGCTGGTGGATTTGAACCACATGTTTTCAGGATTGCAGCACAGTTTCTTACCACTTGGCCTCCAGAGCTCCCCATATATGCATATAAGAGTATGTGTGTGTATGTGTGTCTACCTATCATATAGAGTTTCTCATTTAGTATTGAAAAATATTAAACGTGTCATTTATAGAAAAAAATTAATTTCAATGAATAGTATTTTATCATTGTGGCTAGTATTTTGTTAAATTTTTTATGGAATTATTGAAACCAAAAATTTTTCAAGATGAATTTAACACCTGTCTCCTACTCACACCTGAGTGGATCTTTTTAAAAAATTTTATTTTATTATTTTTTGTGTGTGTACCATCAAATCGGATCTAACTGGTCCAGGAAGAGGTTGTCCCTTCTCCAGCAGAGCATCTTGTGAATTCAAACTGCACACCTCTGGGACTGCAGTGCAGCTTTTTGCCACTAGGCCACCAGAGCTCCCTTGAGTGGATCTATCTTTATTTTAGGCTCTTAGAACATAATTCTTGGGATTTAAGTAAATTCAGAGTCATTTTAAGTGCTTGCGGCCAATGGTTTGTTGCATAAGGATAAGTGTTGAACATACAATTTCTATTGAAAGCATTGTGCTATGCATACTTCCAAATGAAAAGATTTGGATAACTGATTTGTAGAGGTTGGTTTGCCTCTCTCATTCTATTTCCATTACCAATAAATCATAACCTTCTCAGGATCAACTAAAAAAAAACCCTATGTTGTGTAGAGTCCAATCTGACTTAGAGTGACCTTCCATGGGTGTTGGGAAACCTTCCTGGGAGTAGACTGTGCAACTTCCTCTGCTGAAGTGTCTTCATCTTTTAGATTCAGAACAGTGAGCTGACCTTTTACACACTACTCAACTAGGTCCTCTAAAATACACAAAGTCCAGAAAGTTCTACATCACATACTTTTTTCTGTGTGGTTAAAAGGTTTTTTTTAAATTTTATTTTTTATTTTTTTAAATTTTAATTTTATTATTTTTGTGTGCGTGTACCGTCAAATCAGATCTGATTGGTACAGGAGGAGATTGCCCCTCCTTCCCCGGCAGAGCACCTGGTGGATTCGAACTGTGCACCTCTGGGATTGTAGTTGCAGCTCCTTGCCACTAGGCCACCAGAGCTGTCCTTGGTTAAAAGGTTTTAAGTATAAAATTAAGTTGCATTTATTTACTTAAACAAATCTGCACATATACCCAGATACAGTACATCTACTATGTCCAAACAACTGGACTGACTGCTTTAAAAATTTTTGATTACTGAATAAAAGCACTACTTAGAAAACAATTTTAATTTAATTTTTTTCTAGTTACTGGAACTATTTATCTTATTTTTTTTTCTTTCTCAAGTGCATAGTTGTGTGGGAAAGGGAAACTCAATGTGGATTTTCTTTTCCTTTTTGATATGCTTCTTAGTAAAATCCCAGAGCTTCTTTTAAAAGAGGATTGGAATGTTTATGTATGGCCAAGATTAGAGTTCTGGACAAATATTTATTTACTCTTCTTATTTGTAGACCAAATAATTCTTTGATATTCTTATTCCACAGAAAAGAATCTCAGGATTAGAAGTCATCATGAAAGATCATCCATTTTTATCCTACATTTAAATTTTAATCCTCTTCTGTAACGTTCTCTTAAGTTCAATGTCTAGTTACAAGAAAACAAACTTACATCATTTATATATTACTTAGTTATCAAAATTCAGAAATATAATTTACTATTTCAGTTATAGCTACATTAATAACTCAATTCACTAATACCATATAAAAATTGCACTGTGCTTATCTTGCGTTTTATCCGAATGGTAACCATTTTGACGACTCATCATTCTTCAGCCAGTCAATCAAGTGTTTACTGTCATCAACATGAAATTTCCACTATAAGTTAAAAATACTAGGGAAAGGTAAGTGAATGGAGGG